ATAGCAGGCATAGTTTTTATTCTTTTTGAAGGAAAACATTATGATTCATTAAATTTTTTTTGAATATAAATTTAATTGACTATTACATCTTAATCTAAATATGTGTGTTTAGCACTTGATTTGTGCAAGGCAATGAACATGGTGCCAATGAACTTCCTGTATGAAGCCACCATCAGAATGCAGTAAGATACCTTTGTTACAGAGTTAGCTCTCAAGTTTTCATAGTGTAATTCAGAAACTCTTGCTATTCCAGAGCTGAGATCATCACAAGTATAATCACAGAATCTAGAGTGGAAGAGGATTTTGACATTTATTGCGCTCTGCCTTCTTTGTTACTTTTGGTTTAGATGTTACTGAAAACAATGGTAAACACAGGTACCATAAGTAAAATGAATACATCTCTTGGTTTATATTTGATTGTCAAAATGTGGAGTGACTCTCTTTCACACTTGCATACGCTAATGTATGCACTAAGTATTCATATATCCCCAAAACATATATAGTGTATGAAATAATGGAGTGGGATAGGCAATTTTCTCTTAGGCTTTTAGGGTATGGCAGTTTGATGTATACAAGTAATAGGCAGAAGAAAAATTAGAGACAGAAATAAAGTCTCAAATTTACTTGAGGATGTTTTATGAATTTTTATAGTATAATATAGGGCTTTTCAGAATCTAAATAAAATATTTTTATGAAGGTTTTAAAATGTCATTACTTATGGCACAGTATATGTAACAGCTGCTTCTGATTTATGAATACACTGTATCCCCAAATTCTCTTTATAGGTTGGTTGTTTAAAACTCAGAACACATGAGAAAAATATTAAGCATTATGACAAGCCTCTCAGGACAAACTACAAACGTTTGTCGCACACTGAATTCTGTAAAAATCCACTTTTAAAATAGAGCCCCATCTTTTAGTTTTTACTGCCAATGCTGTATTAACACTTTTCTGGACCATTACATTAGCGCACTAAATTGCAGATGCTACTCACGTAGGACAGGCTTATGTTCCAATAAAACTATTGTAAGTACGAAAAGCTTTTACTACCCTGATAAACCAATCTTAAAGTCAAAAAAAGGTAAACTGAACCATCCTAAGTAAGGGACTGTCTGTAATCTTTTTTCTTGACTTTATTTTTTAATTCTCAAAAGCATATAGCACACTGTTTTTGGAATAATACCAATTTCCTATACAACATGCTTATAGAAAAACAACTCAAATTTACTTAAGTAGAATTTAAAGTGTTCAATATTCTCGCATATTCCAGCCTGTACTCTATATCCTCATAACTATGTAATCTTATTTCTAGCCAATATAAAACATTTCCTCCTCCATACACCTGATCTTTTTTTCGTCATGTCCACAGACACTTTTCCAGGGAGTTATCTGACCTCCTTTTCCATAATCTCATCTCTTTACTTGCTCTATGTTCTATCACAAATGCATCTTCTTACAAAAAAGTTGTTTTCATTCTCCCCAGCTAGAACTTCCCTTGAAAACTATGAGGTCATCAATCAAAATCTTTTCAATGGCATAATTTCAATTATTCTGATCTTCTATTTTGTCTCTTGAAATCTGTGACCTTTGAGCTTTGAGTCTGCATTGGATTTAAGTCTTTTTCTTTCCCCAAATGTTTGACGTCATATATTTACTCAAATGTAATATTCAGCTGCTATTTCAAAAAATCTTTATCGAGTGTTTATGAGTCTGGATCCTGAAAGATTGACACGATGAACAAGGGAAGAAGAAGAGAAGATTTAATATAAATATATTTCCTTTTCCTGGTACATGATACACCAAAGACAAATTTTCTTAGTAGACATGATTTGTCCTTACTACTCTTCCATCTCCTTTCATACATTTCCGTTGTTTTCCAAGACTCTAATAGCAAACTCCTTTCATTTTTCTCTACTCTCAAAAACACAATATATTTTAGAATCGCTTTCATTCTAAAGTAATCCGTATGTCCTTAATACAGATAATTTTCAACTAGTATTGAGAGTCAAAAGATAAGATTAAACTGACTCAAACTGGATTAGGATTTATAATTTCTCCTAGACATACTTGTATTTAATATTTGGAAACTTCTTTTTTTCTGGAATATAAGTAACTATAAAACCATTTTTAAAATATTAAGTGTGCTAGAAAATGTT